TGTGTGTGTGTGTGTGTGTGTGTGTGTGTGTGTGTGTGTGTGTTGGAGGGGGGGTCACTTTCCAACACAACAAACTCAAAAAAACTCATTGCCATCAAGTCGATGCAGATGCACAGCAACTTTATAGGACAGGGTAGAACGACCCCAGCAAGTTTCCAAGACTGTAACTATTTATGGGAGTAGAGAGCCCCTTCTTTCTCGTACTGTGGGAGTTACAGAATCTGGTGCCAATTTGAGAGGATTACGAGTGAAGGGTTAGAGTCTGGCCTGTCAATCAAGATAAAACCAATGAGGTCTCTGTGTGGGCATGACCCTTTCCTGAGAATTCTGGGAACTCTGGTATTCCTCCTTGGAGGCAGAAGACAGATTCTCTCTCTGCTCACTCTGAGAGACGCTCTACTGACAAGACCTGACAAGACACATGGCACTATGCTGATCCACCCCGTGCCCTGGGAAATGGAGAAGACACTTGGAGACCCTGCCAGCGCTGAGATGCTTACAATGCCACTGAGTCCAAAGACTTTGTACCCACTGGCCTGTGATCATCCTGCACTCGGCATCACTGCATGTGTTTCGTGAGTCTGAAGAGGGCTTTATAGAATGGCATCGGACATATGGACTAACATCAGATTTATGGGCTTGGACAGGATTGGGTTGGGGTGTTGTCTAATGCACAGTTCCTCTTTATATAAAACTCTCTCATACACGTGTCTCTATGGATTTGTTTCTCTAGTCCACGCCGGCTGACGCAGCAAGGGAGCAGCTGGCTGGTGGTCTCCCGCTCCTGACATTGTGGTTTGCAGCCACTTTACAACCACGACCCCTCCAGGGCTGACTGTCCCCCACCACCCCCGCCCCCGGTTCCCCTGGGCCGGGCTCCCAGCACAATATTGAACAATATCCTGCCGTGATGCGAGTCGCAAGGTTTCATTGGCTAAGTTTCAGAAGTAGATTGCCAGGCCTTTCTTCCTAGTACTGGGACGTCATTCTGTCTGTCATTTTCAATGTGGATTAAAAAAAAAAAAAAAGAATCAACCAAAAGTCCACAACATTCCAATTTGGGGTTACGGCTTACCAATACACGCTGTGTGGTGCTGTGTGAAACCAGGTGGGCATTTGCAGGTAAACCCCCCTAGGGTGTTCACACAGAGGAACTGGCAGTTGTGCTGCTTGGCCTGACATTCGTCGAGGTCTGGAATGATGAAAGAGAAGCCAGTTACCTGGACGCTCACCCCTTCTGGTGAAGCCACAGGAGAACAAGGCTGACGGAAGCATTTTGGTGGGAACTCTTATAGTTTTCCACACACATTTGGTGAGCAGTTTCATCTCAAACACATGAGTAGTACAAATACTACAGCTCCTCAAAGCGGGTTTTCTTTTTATAAAATTAAGAAGTTGAATAGCTGAATAACAGGGGTTTCCATAAACTGTTCTCAAAACTAAGGCCCAATGTTTATATAATTCTGGCATTGCCTGCAGTTTTGCACGGCCACTTATTCAGACCTATTACAGAGAACATGGACTTGACAAAGCTCCTAACACCAATACTGAGTCAGAGTCTCCACATCCATTACAAACACCAGAGAGGGCAAAAACATAGCATCTACATAACGCTAGGCATAAAAGGTGTTGATTTTGGCATCCAGTAATAGAAAACTCAAAATCAGATTTGGGCCATGTTGAAACCTAGAGTAACAAAATATATTTCAAATAAATCTATCAGACTCAATAAGATGGACTACTTTGTTGCTAACTTAAATACAGTTCCACTGTAGTCATTTATAAACAATATGCTAAATTACATTGACTTCTATTTGTTTAGCGAACAGGTACAAAGGAAGAGCTTTACTTGATGCTTTAATTTTCTGTATTTCCTGGAAGCAAAACCTAATTTTATTTCAAATAATCATTTCAAAAATATAATTAAGAATTTTCCTAGTCTGTTTATTTGATAATGAAGCTTACTGTAAAACTGAATATAGAAGTATGGCATTAAAGCTAGTTTAATATATACCTGAGCTTAATACTTTGCCAATTTAACATTGGCAAAAGAATGACCCGTTCTTTTACAATTTTCTGCAGAACGTATGGGGTACAGATAAAGAGCATCTCAGGCACTCAACCACTGCCATCGACTCTATTCTAATTCACAGGAACTCTACGGGATAGAACTGGGGCTCCTAGACTTTAATTCTTGGAGCAGACAGCTCCCTCTTTCTCTTCAAGTGCGCCTGGCGGGGTTTGAACTTCTTCAGTTCGATGTGTCGCCATCTACGCCACCAGGACACGAAATAGCAGGTAAGCAACTCCCTAAAAATTTCACTGTGATTATTTTCTCATAACTCTTTCCCGACAAAGCTTTGGCCTTGTTTGGCTTGACTGGTTCAGTTGTGCTGCTCGCTCTAGGAAGCAACGTATGGTAGAACTTGGTTTTGAGGGTCTCTGCCTTCACCACTGGTCCTTCGGTGTAATTTTCTATGAGCAATAGATGCTCTTAGCATTCAAGGCTGAGAGAACCGAGTGAGGCCCAGAGCCCAATCGCCAGATGCTTCGCTCACCTCTGCACGTCTTTCCATCCTCTTGTAGGACATAGCCCCGTGGACAAGAGCACTGGTAACTTCCTTCAGTGTTCTTGCAGATGAAGTTGCATGGTTTGGGGGACTGGGAACATTCATCTAGATCTAAGCAAAAATGATTTGCAGGTTAATTTCCGGGTTAAAAGAAATAACCAGTTTACTTCTTGCCTCCATCCCAAAGCCAACCCAACCCAGTGCAGTCAACTTGACCTGGACTCACAGTGACTCAGCAAGACCGAGCGCACTGCTCCATAGCCTTTCCGTGACTGCCATTCTGTACAGGAGCAGGCAGGCTCCTCTTTCTACCACAGAACGGCTGGCCTTGGGGTTAGCATCCTAAGGCTTAGTTAGTTTTGCTTTCCCTGTGCAATCTTTAAAAAGGAAAGCAATCAGAGAAAAACGATGTCCGGAATAATTTTGCTGAAAGTAATAATATAGACTACTTTGTAGATCAGTCTATGGTCCTAGTGTGAATATGACAACATTTAGACAAATGTCTAAGTTAAAAGAAAGCTCCCCTACATACTTTACATGATTAGTTGGTGTACGACATGAGAATCGCTCACTCATCATCAACTAATGGCTTGTCCCTGAGCTGACTCCAACTCACGTCCTCCTCATGCATTTCACAGGAGAACTGAGCTCCATAAGGCATCTAGTGGCTTCATCTTTTGCAAGTTCATCATCTGACCTTTCTTCTAAGGCCCTTCTGGGTGGATTAGAACCACCTACCTTTTCATTCGTAGCTAAGTGTGTTTACCACTTGTGCCCACCAGGGTCTCTCACTGAACTTGGAGAGAACTGTTAGTTTCTTTAACACTTGAATGTGGTTGATGTTCTTGTAATCAACTCTCTTCACTGATGTTCCCCTAACCATCTTGCTGGAGCACAGACCGAGCTGGAAATCTCTCACTTGCTCCTCCAGATCCATTCTTCACTCTGTTCTAGAATCAGGAGGCCAATCTGGATGGACACCGGCAGCAAGAGAGCTTGCCCTTTGCCTTCTGGTTGGCCCTCATTCCCACAACTCCCTCCCCCAATGTGGGTACTGGCTGCTTGTGTCATCTGACTAGAGATTATAGCTCCTCTTAAGGCTGTCCTCTGTACACAGCTTTCCACTTCCAGGTTCCACTAACCTCTCCTTCTTTTCTAACCACCTATACCAGGTCAAAAGGCATCTCACTCCATATCTTCTCTTGCCTGTCAAACTTTGTTGCACTATGATGACTTGCATGGTGCTGTCCTGTTGGAAGCTATGACACAGTTATTTCAAATACTAGCAGGACCACCCAGGTAGGCAGGTTTCAATAGAACTTCCACACTAAATCAGACTAGGAAAAAGCACCTGGTGGGTCTACTTCTGGGGGGAGGGGGAAGGATCAGTCAATGAGAGCCTCATAGACAGCAGTGGAGACCGACGGATATAGTGCCAGAAGATGAGCCCCTTAGGTTGGGACACACTCACACAGGTGATGAGGATGGGCATTTTCTTATCCTTATGTACCTGGAGCTGCTATGATACTGTAGTAAGACTGCTTTGCAAATGGACATTTTGTATGGTGCCTAACTAGTATGCTTTAGGTGAAAACAAAACAAAAGGTGATGAGGAATAAGCACACATTAATCTACAATGAGAAATTCTCATCATTTGTCAAAAATATGTCAAATAAACATATCTGATACATTACAATAAAAATGTAAAAGCCTTTTTATACTTTTTATAAAAGCTCCTCTGATTGAAGAGGCTTTCTTGATTAACTGAACAGTCTGTTTTCCATAATACTGGCCAGGAGATAACTGCTCTACTACTAAGAACTGCATGATTGAGAGGAATCACATCATTTCATGCATCTGGCACATTTCAAAGCTTCTAACGACAGCCTGCTAACAGGACGTGACGTGGCTAGTATGAGCTGGTGGCTGACACAGCCTCAGATGCCAAAGGACCTCGCCTTACCAACACAAGAGGTGCCGCTGAGGTCTGTGGTGTAGCCGAGCTCGCAGAAGCAGCGCGACGAGCCCATGGTGTTGATGCACTGACCATTGGCGCAGAGGTTTGGCATGACTTTACACTCATCGATATCTGCGGGTCAAGAGGCAGAGATGCAAGTGTGTGACACGGCGTGGGAACTCAGAGAAGTAACTGAGATGAGCTGCCGATGAACCAACACGCACTCGCACGATGACGCTAACAGGGCGCCCTTTCATCCTTTGGGAGACTCACCAGTATGGAAGGGAGAGAACATTTATTTGTGCTGATGGAAGAAAGTAAACCAAGGCAGGCTGTGTTGAAAGCTCTGCTTGACTGATATAATCACGAATTATCTTTGAGCTATAAAAATCTCTTTTTTTGAAGTTCAACTAATTTGGAATTCAGTTTGTGATAATTCCCCGTAGCCCGGCTTCACATTTGTAGAAATTCCCACTCTAAGTGAGGATGTAATTAGTAAAACAAACGTGTAGGCAGGGGATTTGCAGAGGAAGAAAATGGTGCTCTCTGAGATACTAGTTTGCTAAGTAGTTGTACAAAAAAAATGGAAACCAGAGGTCTGTCAGGAGATTTGGGAACTCATGAAAATGTCAGCAGAATGGGTTCCTGAGAACATTCCGAAGGAGGACACTATTTACTGAAATCAAACAAGTATCATTTGAGGGTTAAGCCGCACTTTTAAGCGTGCTCTTTGAGATCAGACAGATTTGCTTCATTCCTGGGTCTGTTTCCTAAAAGAGTATTACTTTGGGCAAATTACATATTATAATCTTAGCTTTCTGTTTCAATTCCCTCGCTTATTTAAAAGTGATTAATATCCAATTCTATCTCTTAGGTTTTCTATGAATATTAACATTTCCAAAGTCTCTATAGAATTGGAATATTTTTTCTACACCTGCACAAATATGCGCATGCATACACATGAGCGCGCACACACACATATATACTCACTCACGCATACTCTAATAAGCTATCTCAGGTCTTACTATTTCACCTCTATTCCCTTCTCCCTCTCTTCTTTAAGTCATTTTATTGGGGCTAGTACGACTCTTATCACAATCCAGCATACATCCATTGTGTCAAGCACATTTGTACATTTGTTGTCATCATCATTCTCAAAACATTTTCTTTCTACTTGAGCCCTTGGTATCAACTCATTTTTCCCCTCCCTCTCCAACCCTCCCTCTCTCACAAACCCTTGATAATTTATAAATTATTATTATTTTTCATGTCTTACACTGTCTGATGTCTCTCTTCACCCACTTATCTGTTGTCTGTCCCTCAGGGAGGGGGTTATGTGTAGATTGTTCTGATCGGTCCCCCCCTTTCTCCCTCACCTTTCCCTTCCCCTTCTGGCATCTCTACTCTCATTATTGGTACTGAGGGGTTTTTCTGTCCTGCTCTGATCTGTACCTGTGTACCTGCTCTGGTCTAGCCAGATTTGTAAGGCAGAATTGGGATTTTTAAACTGAACTAGTTACATTCATCAAATTGATAGCATGCATGCATTTCCTCAACCCCTTACCTCTGCCATCAGTGGTGTATCCTGGACCATGAGGACATATTTTTTTGTACTGGGCAGTTCCAGGCAGTGGGCACAGCTCACACTGGTGGCCCCAGCCTCGCCCACCATCACAACAGCACTCTGACTTTGTGACAAGATTTCGGCTGCTGGAAGCCATTTGACACATGGTCTGCAATACCTCTGCAAAGCAGAGGCCCTGCCGATTGTCTGAAACGAGGAAGTAGAAAACCCACCTGTCATAGAACTGACACTCCTCCTTATCCTGATTTTCAAATCAAATAGGACACCTTTCAGCAACTGCTTAAAACACGTATTCTCTAGGACACACAGGCCACTTAAGCCAGCTTAGTGATTATAACCTTTTGATGGAGGGAACCTTGGAGAGAGCTTTCTTTCACTATGAGTTATTAGATTTGACAGGTAGTGATACTATATTGGAGACTTTTTTTTTTGTTTCTTCAATCCACTAGCAGCTAAATGCTGTTGAACTACCACCTTATAGAATTCAAGTGAAAGGAAAAGAAGATAGAGCTACTTCTGTTTAAATAAATAAGTGAGTGTAGGGATTTGTTTCTGAAAGCTCATTCGAGGTGATGAGATGAGCTAGGTAGGTTTTCCATCTAGCCACCTGTACAATGAAGGGATGGCTCATTCAGACTGAGCAAATATCTCTTTGTACAAACAAGGGTGCTTCTCTGATGTAAATAAGCCAAGTAATCAATCACAGCAGCAAGACTTCCTGATGGGAATACAAAGCACATGTCCACTGCAGGTTTTATTTCCTACATGATTGTTCGTAAATGTTTAGACTGAAGAAAAAAAAGACACCAAAAAAACCCAAGATATAGTTTCTTGGCTAATGTTTTTTCTAGGATGGGGAGCAGATGCTCTCCCTCTGAAAAGCAACAACAACAAGCTGAATACAACAACAAAACAGCATCTTCTGAGCCCTATCAAACGAGGAGGCCAACAATCGAGGCTGTGCTCCAATTTCCCGTTCCTTGGTTACCAGCCCATCCTTATTTGCTTGCTCACAACGAAGATGGCTTGGACCAGTGGTGCTCGACCTTCCCAATGCTGCGACCCTTTCATACAGTTCCTCATATTGCGGTGACCTCAAACCATAAAATTATTTTTGTTGCTACTTCATAACTGTCATTTTGCTACTGTTATGAATCGGGTGACCCTGGTGAAAGGATCGTTTGACCCTCAAAGGGCTCGTGACCCCAAGGTTGAGAACAGCTGGTTTAGACAATTTGCACTTTAGTACTAAAGTACAACATAATACCGGAGATTTGCACTTGCTGTAAGAAATTAATTTTCAAAGCAATCTAATAAAAACTGAGCCTCACTGCAGTTTTTTAAAGTTTGCATTTACTTTGCATTAATATCGGCAGAACTTACCTCATATCGCAAATATTTTCTTTTAGAATTAAATCATCCCAATGTCAGTTTTATTGACTGACTAAAGTCACATTTTCCACCAGGCTTAATTAATCTTCATCTTGAAAAAGCCATCTGAGATCATTATTGACATTACACATAGGTATGCGTATGACATACACATATATTCAAATCCATCATTTTAATGGATGTATGTGTCCCTTAGGAAAAGGTCAGAGAATACTTGGACTGGGGACCTTTCCTAGCAGACCATGATAAATATGTAGACCTCTTCTGTAATGGTATCATAAAACAGATGTTCCATTTGTCAAGTAAAATACAGATGTACAAACACTTACCAAGACATTCAGTCCCAGAAGAACTTAGCTGGAACCCTTCATTACATTCGCACCGATAGCTCCCAATGATGTTTGTACAACGCCCATTTTCACAGATGCCTGCCTTGGTCCTGCATTCATTCTCATCTTTAGACAAGCAGATGGGAATAAAGGGAAGAATGTAAAACTGCACTGTACAAATTCCTCTCACACCTTATTTTAAATGTCTTCCCCAAAATACTATTGCAACGGGATAAAAACTAGCACCTGTGAATATCCCTTGATCTCATTTTAACGTATTCTTCCAGGTGTGTTTTGTTCTAAACATAGTCTCTCGATCTCTGTGCTGTGGGGAAGGCATCGTGCTTGTTAAAGAATTGGAAATTTGGCCTCAAAAGGGAAGGATCTGCCCTGAGAGGCCAGACAAGGAGGGGAAGGCATTGGGGAAGAGGCTATCAATTTCTGTGATAACAGAGAAAGAAGTTAGGGGGTGGAGTGGTGGCAGGACTGGGGGAGGGGTGAGGAGAGGAAGAGCCACACAGGGCAGGGAATCAGGAGGAACTCAGCCAAGGTCTGAGCCAAGAGGGAGAGCGGAGCTGTGGTCTGTAGTCTGAGAGTGTGCTTAATGGCAGCAGGGCTTTAAGATAGCGCTGCTCTTTTTGTTGGTGATACATGAAGCCGTTAGAGCATCGTGCTTGATAAAGTAGAGGGGCAGGAAGAAAGGAAGGCCTTCAACAAGATGGATTGACAGTGGCTGCAACAATGGGTTCAAACACGGGACCAACGGTGAGGACAGCGCAGGGCTGACCGTTTCATTCTGTCGTGCAAAGGATTGTCAGCCGTTGCAATGGACTCTATGGTATGACAACACTATCAGAGCATACGCGTCATTTAAACTTCCTATATCCTTACTGTGATATGTACACCCTGGTGGTGTAGTGTTTAGGCATTAGACTGTGAGCCACATGGTCGGTGGTTCAAAACCACCAGCAGCTCCATGGGACAAAGACTGAGCTTTCTACCCTCACACATAGTTCCAGTCTCTGAAACCAGAGTCAGCGTGACTTCATGGCAGGGAGATCTCCTTACACATTTTTTTAAGGTTAAAAAATAATTTTTTTTAAAGCAATCTTGTTCGCTTCATCTTTCTCTTGAGGAACCTCTCTGCTCCTGCAAAGGTGCATAGCCTCGGAACCCCAAATAGGGTCACAAAGTTGGAAGCTACTTGATAGCAAACAGTGGGTTTGGGTGATAGGTGGTGCTAAGAGAGCCCTTGCCAATTTTATCTGTGTACTTTCATTTTTCTTTTGAACCCTCTATTTCACGGATATGTATTGTACTTTCTTTCCATTAACAGTTGCCCTGAGTATCTTTTTCTGACTCTGTTTTCAACTGTTAACATAGTTTGATTTTAGGTGCATTGCTTGTAAAAAGCACACAGCTAGATTAAAAAGGATCATGTCATTTGTGAATAAAAGTAGATCAACTTCTTTTCCTGTCTGAACACCTTTTCTTTTATTGACCAATTGCTCTGGCTAGAACTTCCAATAAAAAGCTGACTAGCTAGGGCAAAAGTGGGTATTCCCGTCTTGTTCTTGATTGAACGAGGCTTTCAGTCTTTCACCATTAAGGATGATATTGGCTGTGCTTCAAAAAAATTGTAGTGAAAATACGCAACAAAATATTCACTAAGTCCACAATTTCTACATGTATAATTCTGTTATATTAGTTCCATTTTTCATGTTGTGCAACCAGCATCACTATCCTTTTAGAAATTATAAACTTAAATGTAATGCATGCTAAACAAAAACTTCCCCTTACGTGGCTTCCTCAGACCCCTTGTAATTATTAAATACTCTTTAAAATATATTAATACAAGTGAAATCATACTGTTTTTGTCTTTTGTGACTAATTTTACTCAGAATAATTTAAAGTTTTAACATGATGTGGCATGCCTCAGAAGTTCATTCCTCTTTATAGCTGTGTAGTATTCTACTATATATATGTGCCACATTTGATTTACCCATTTGTCTGCTGCTTCTACATTTGGTTATGAACATTGGTATATTTCCACCTGTGCGTTCACGTCATCGGGGACATGCCTAGAATTGTGATCGCCAGGTCCATAGGTAGTTTTTTATGGTCAACTTTCTGAGGAAGCACCTGGTCATTTTCCACAGTGGCTGTGCCATTTTACATTTGTAATAGCAAGAGAGAAATTGTTCTTAGAAGAAAGTTCCAATTTTTTTATGACCTAAAGCATACCTGTTGCTTTCCTTAAAAAAATTTTTTTTTTGCTAAATCATTTCTATTCTCATGAGGGTAAGGTGACCTCTCATTTATTACCTGTGGGTTCTTGTACACACGCTATCATCTTGCAGGTGTCCCCTTCAATTCCTTATTGGCTGAGTGCTGTCAGGCAGAAAGCATGCTCGTTTTTGACAAATGCCTTTCGGCATCAAAGTAATGAGTGTTGTTATTTTTCCCTGGTTTTATTTTTTGCCCTTAGTAATGCACTGGGTGATTTTCTTATGTTGAATCCCACTTGAATTCTTGGGACGAATCCCATTGATCATGCTGTATGATCCTTTTAAAATGCTTTGAGATTGGCTTGTTAGTATGTTGTTGAGGATGTTTGCCTTCATATTCATAAGGCTATTTTCCGAGGTTTTTATTCTTGTGGTGCCTTTATTTGGTTCCTTCATCCACTTGTAACTAGCCTACAGCCTCACTGCAGGTGTTAATCCTTTCTCCATGTACTATCTGTGGCTTTTCTTAAAGGCAGCCCTTTCACACTTTTGTGCTCTAGAGTATCTTCTAAGTTCTCACAATTTTCTTATTTCTTCTCTTCATCTTTTCCAGTCACTCTCCACAGTCTCAAATAACTCCCCTCTTGAAACCAACAAATTTCTTCTGAGTTAATGGTGTGTTTCCACTGCCACGTTCCTTTGCTCCTCTTAGAGAAACGTTGCCGGATGAAAGAATCACGTACCGCACAGTCTGCCTATCTCATCTGTTTCTTTTTTCAACCGCCTGTTAAAAGCTCCTCCAACGAAATTGTTCTTGGTGAAGTCACCAAATCTAATGAATAATTCAGTATCAATAGCATTATACACAGTCAATCACTCCCTGCCTTCTCAAATAATTTAGTTGACTCTCTTAATACTACATTTCCTTAGATAATTTCCCATCTTGTTGGTCGTTCGGTTTTAGTCTCCTAAATATACCCCATCACCCTACGTGTTCATGTGCCCCCGGGTTCAGCCATTAGTTCTTCTCCTTCTGTGTCTTCTTTTATGGGGATCTCAACAAATTCCATCATTTTAAACACTACTTATGTCCTGGTGACTATATAAAGAGCTCATAAGTACATCTGTCCACTGCTGGGAAAGCTAAGGCATGTCTGACAATGAACATATACAAGATAGAGCATTTACTCTTGTTCTCCCATCCAGACCTGTTTCTTCCAGCCTTTTCCATATCAGTAAATGGTAGCATCATCTAAGCAATTATTCAAGTAAAAATCCTGGGATGCACTTCATTGTCATTCTTTCATCTACTATGCTAAGTATATCTATCAGCATGTTCTAATAATTATCCCCAAATATATTCTGATTCTCCACTCTTCTTTCACATTGGGATGGATCTACTATAAACCCCCCTGTGATTACAAAAGCAGCCGAAATGAAACCTTGGCCTCTGTTCTTCCTCCTATAGCTATTCCTCACACTGAAGTCGAGACCTGTTAAAGGATGAATTAAATAACACTCCATTGAGATTTTGTTGTTGTTGTTAGGTGCCATCGAGAAGGTTCTGGCCCACACCAACCTTCTGCACCACAGACAAAACACTGCCTAGTCCTGGGCCACCCTCGCAAGTGTTCCCATATTTGAGCCCCTGGTTGCAGCCAAGCACCTTGTCAAACCACCTCCTTGAAGACCTTCCTCTTTTATGGCTGCTCCTTCACACTTTACCAAACGTGATGTCCTTCTCCAGGAACTGGTCTCTCCTGACAACACGCCAAAGTATGTCACATAACAGTCCAGCATCCTTGCCTCTAAGGAGCACTCTGGCTGTACTTCTTCCAAGACAAGAGTGGTTTGTCCTTTTATCAGTCCATGGTATTTTCAATATTCTTCTCTAGCACCACAACTCAAATGCATCAATTCTACGCCAGGCTTCTTTACTCAATGTCCAACTTTCACATGCATATGGGGCAAACGAAAATACCATGGCTTGGGTCGGGTGCACGTTACTCCTCAAAGTAACATCCTTATTTTTCAATACTTGTGCAGCAGATTTACCTAATACATTGCATCTTTTGATCTCTTGGTGGCTGCTTCCATGAGCATTTACTGTGAATGCAAGCAAGAAAAAAATCTTTGACAACTTGAGCCTTCCCTCCATTTATTATGACGGTACCTATTGGTCCAGTTGTGAGGATTTTGGCCTTCTGTAAAGAGTTGTAATCCATACAGAAGGCAGAGATTTTACTATATGTGCCACCTATAAGGGTTTATAAGAATTCATTAACTTACTCCTTGCAGTAATCCTGAGAAACATTTGTTCCTGTTTGTTTTCAGATGAGGAATTTAAGGCACAGATTAAGTCACTGTCAGTTAACTGGTGGACTGTATAGATGTTACATGTATAGATGTTGTCAATTTGAGACTTAAGAGAGAAGGGGTGCACTATCATGATCTAAATTCTACTTTGCCAGTCTGGCTAGACCAGAGGATGTACACTGGTACAGATAGGAACTGGAAACAGTTCCAGGACGGATGCTCCCTTCAGGACCAGTGGTTGAGAGTGGCGATATCAGGAGGGTGGAGGGAGAGTGGGGTGTAAAGGGGAAACCAATTACAGGGATCTACATATAACCTCCTCCCTGGGGGACGGACAACAGAAAAGTGGGTGAAGGGAGACATCAGACAGTGTATGATATGACAAAATAATAATTTATAAATTATCAAGGGTTCATGAGGGAGGGGTGAGCGGGAGGGAGGAGAAAAATGAGGACCTTACATGGAGAAGAAATGTTTTGAGAATGATGAGGGCAATGAATGTACAAATGTGCTTTACACAATTGATGTACGTATGGATTGTGATAAGAGTTGTATGAGCCCCTAATAAAACGATTGAAAAAAAAAATACAATCTTAAAAAAAAAAGAGTGAAGGGGTGGAGTTTAGCTTGTCAATCACATTGCAGCTTGAGACCTCACTTGGAGGCGCCAAGGAGATAAATAGCTCACTGGAAGTAGGACAGATGCTCACTCCCTGCAAGACATTCCTGCAGACAAGACACACGGAGCTATGCTAGAGCCTGGGGGCTGAAGGAGCCATGTGGAGACCCCTGCCAGCACTGAGATGCTTCCACCACCACTGGATCCACAAGACTTCCCACCCACCCACTGGCCTATGATCTTTCTGCATCAGCGTGATTGCATGTGTTTTGTGAGTCCGAAGGGGACTTCATAGATTAGTATCAGACATATGGGCTAATATTGGACTTGAGGACTTAATCTGGAGTGGGCTGGGATGTTTCTTTGCTGTTGTTGTTGTTGTGGATGTTTCTTAATGTACAATTACTCTTTATATAAAGTGCTTATATATGAGTGTCCATGAATTTATTTTTCTAGTCAACTCAGACTAACATCGAACGTAAGGTCCGAGGTTCCAGCACACTAGTTACTGTGTGAGGGAACAATGAGGCCATCAGTTCTGTAAACACGTACAGCCTTGGAAGTTGTATTTTGGGTAGCTCTGATTCAGAATCGACTTTATGGCAACAGGTTTGTTTGTTGGTTGGACCCAACCATTACAGAGCTACGAAACCTAAAACTAGCCATCTTCGCAGTCCATTCTAAGCGGCCCATACTCTGAATCACACTCTACCACATGCATTTAGCAGAGAAACAAATGAGGGTCTACAATGGCTTTGCCTATCTTTAGCTGTCACGCCGCGGCCTTCATTTCTGCCTCAGAGGTTTGCTTGCTCTTGCTTTTCCCTTACTTTTACGTCTCAGCTCAGATATCACACCATGTATCCCTTGATTATGTATCCTAAAGTCAGTCACCCCAATCATTTAATTTTATTCTCATAAAAACTTACCATGTATATAATTATCTTATTTATTTACTTACTTGCTTTCTATTTCTACTCTACCAGAATATATATTACTACTTGCATGCAGGGGACTACACCATTCGTCATTTCTAAGACAATTCCTCAAATGCATGTGGATCCTTCTTCTTTTATTTCATTTTCTGCTCTCCAGGATTTCACTTATGCACACATTGGGCGTTCTTTGGCTTTCACTTCTAATATCTGTTCATTAAACACTTCTACATCCAC